TGAACAGCACCGCCGTCGCTTGAGCACGGGGAAGCCGCCATGCTGAAATTCTGAAATTGGCCAAAATGGGCCTGAGACTGAATTTGGGATTTGTTTAGGAAATTTATAGATACTTATAGCGCATTTTGATTCCCGAAAAAAAATTTAGGGAACCCGAAAACTGCCTGTAGGCGCAGTGAATAGCTTAATTTTTCGAGCACCAAATTGAATAAGAATCCTTCATCCTATCCTCTGTTATGGAATTAAAGTTTAATTTTAAATAATACAGTATTTTGTGAAATTTAAAAAATATCTATAATTAATTACGTGTTATTAATGGACTCAAAATAAAAAATTGTTCTCTGTTGATTTATGTTGATTATGTTATAGTCTAAATACATAATAGTATTAGATTTATCAATTAAATAGTTTGAATGCATGTATTGCTACCTTATGTGACTATCGTTAAATTAGAAAACTGAGATATGATTTCATTCCCTTATGCATGTTTGTTTGTTTATGTGATTACGGTTGAGTTAGAAAATGAAAACTAAAGAAAAAGGTAAAATTGTATGATTAAGTGAATGGATGAAACGACAGCCTTATTGTATATCCTAGGAGATGATGGACGGACCGGGTACAATAGGGAACCCTACCGTGAATGTTGTATCATACTGGACGAGGTATCGAAACTTGGTAATTTGGTGCTTATATTGGATGGGGTATGGGGACGGCCCGTTTCACTCTCATATTGGACGGTGTATTGAGGTTTAGTGGTTTGACGCTCATACCGGACAGAGTATGGGGACGACCCTTTAATTGAGAATGTTGAAGGAAATTGTTCACCTGTAGCGGAGATATCCCTATGAACCCCCAAGGATATCAGTAGGCCGGTAAAAGGAAAGATTGTTGTTTGATTTATTGAATATGGATTTATAATGTGTTTCTGTCACCAATTACATATGAAATCATGATAAGTGCTATATTATTGTCTCTATAGGTTGTTTTTATAAATCTCGCTGCGGTAAGTGGATGGTAAACGGTTTTATTTTTAATAAATGTATTAGTTTAAATTAAGTGCTCCATTAGTTGTTTTGAATTTCTACCAACCTTCATTTCTATATTGGCGATATAGTGTGATATTTTTATTGGATTAGTGTAGTTCATCCCTTATTTAACCATTTCAGATCAAGAGGACTAGGATCCAGAACCTCATCTACAAGAGGGTTGCGAGTAGAATGCTAATTTTCTTTATTTTCCGTTCATTTTCTTATTTCTTTGTATTTCTTTCAAAAAGGTGAATTCCGAAACACCAGTTGTACTTTACATTATTTTGTAAGAAATGTAAACCTTGAACATTTAATTCGCTTCTGCACTTTAACTATTATTTATTTTATTTGAATATTTCTAAGGTTGTTACATTAAATACAATTAAAAGAGTATATATTTTTCCAAAAAAAGAACATATTAATATTTGGGAGAGTAATCGTAAATCAAATTTTTGTACTAGTTAATATAATAATAATGATCATAAATTGATGTTGATATAGTTTGAATTTTGGAGATACATATCTATATTTTGATAAATAATTTATGTTTATGTTAGTATATTATATATATAGAGAGGATATTTTTTATTTATTCTATGAAATATGTGATGTAAATTTTAATGGATATTTTATGAATATTTGAAGATATTTTTATTTATCTTTGGGAATATGTGATATGTATCCTAAATATTTTAGAGTAGCGATATTTTTTTATTTTTTTATTTATTGAAGATATATTCTTCGTTTCTCTTCCTCCGATTTGCCCATAAGGGTACTCGGAATAGAATTTTGAGTGGGTGGGAGGAAATTTTACATTTTTTGGTGGTCGGCGGTCAAATTTTCACCTATTCTTCCCAAAATTATTTTTAATTTTGTCCATAATTCATTTTTTCTCAAAAATTAAAGCAAATTAAGATAAAATAAAATTTTTAATTATTTATGTATATTTCATAACTCGTAAAATTATTTCAGACCAATTTTTAGGCCCAAGTGTTACAATTTCTCCGTATATATATGTAAACATGTTATCACTTACTTTTAATATAATTTCGTTGCCAGGAGGAATTGCTTCAAACATATCTCCTCCAATATATTTCAAGTTGTGGGTGGATTGCAAACCATCAACTACATGTGGTAGATCAAAAACCTTAAACTCTGACTTCTAGAACTGATGGGCCAAACCTTTACTGAAATTACCAGTGCCACCTCCAACATCAACTAATTTCTTTAACCCGTCGAATACACCTTTACAACTATTAATTATAGTTGTTGTAACTAAATGAGAATCACATGCCATAGCTTCATTAAACAATGGTTAACTTTGGGTTCACAGGCAGTATAGTCCCATAATGTGATCCCATGTACTATAAAAAATGGAGTTTGATCATCATTTTGGAACCAAGTGCTGAAATGGGGCCAAGGGTTCATTAAGATAGGATCAAATATTGCAAACAAATACGGTCTAATACTAAAGGGATTGTTTTTGAGGAGCAACTGGGAGGAAGTTGTAAGAACATATCCCTTCTTCTAACTCATTTGGACTTATTTTTTCCTTCTTGAAGAAACCAGAGTTAATCAATATACGCATTAAGCGATGGATACCATTTGCTTTTGAAGGGTTGATTGGTAGAGCAGAAATAAGTTGTTGATCTGTGATGGGTTTAGCATGGTTATGAATGATATCTGGTATACCTAATTCAACAGTGCATTTATGACAAGTAGAGTGTATGAAATTGAAGATATGATTCTACACATTGGCCTGAGCCTTTAGTAGATGATTTATATCTATATTTTCCCCATTTGTGGAACTCATCTCTTGCATTTTTTTATTTGTTTCAAGTTTATGTATATTATCTCCCCCTATATATAGAGGTAGATTTAAACCTACCACATTGATTTTTTTCTAATTTCTAGTCAATGTTTAAAAATTTTTAAACATTCATAGATCTCCAAAGTTTAATTCACACTTAAACAACACTCTGATTATACATTTGTACAAAGGTTAAACTCTTCTTTAAAGTAAGAGTCTTATGACAAATAAAAGTTTTTAATGAAGTAATTAATCATTAAAATCCTTAGAACAATGTGAGTACTTACTTATTTCTCTAAGCTTAAAATACTATTTGATGAACTGTTAAATTATAAATTGATCCCTAGTTCTATTTGTGCTGGCTTGAAGACTGTGGTTAAAATATCAACAACGTGATTGGGTGATGAAATTTTTTATAAGAGTAAATGAGTCCTCACGTGTTGACTACTAACTCATAATATACTCATCTCGCGTTAATCTCGACCGTCCGATCACATTTAAAGAGAAAATAAATATAGAATGTTCATCGCGATTTGATCTCAACCATCCGATCGCGTTTAAAGAGAGAATGAATCTGAACCGTTCATCGCGTTTAATTACGATTATACAATCATGTCTGAGGAGGGAATGAATTTGGACCCTAGCCGTAAGCCTCCTACCGGAGAAGAAAAATCAATCACCGGAGAAAAGAGCCAACTGTCGACTGTTACCGCGCCAGAACCACCTCCGACCGTAAAAAAAGGTAAAGATTCTCCTATCTACTAAGAATTTGATTCTGAACACCCCTATGGCCAAATTGGAGTAAAAAAAATGACAGGTGAACCGAAAATTGCAGGCAAATCTAGGTGGTGCTGCCGCAAGAAAAACCTGCAATTGCCTCCGATGAGCCCCTTTTCGTTTTCCGTTTAGTACTATTTTTTCACCGTTCTATTTTCTATAGGTTGACCGAAAAAATACACCCAACCACGCAAGTGAGCCGGCAGAGCCGCCGTACTGAAAAATTATGGCATCGGTAGGTTTCTATTTTTTGATATTTTTCGGCTAACCGAGATCCCCAATGTGTTTTCTTATAGGAATGGGTATAAAACTGGCCGAAAAATAGATAAAGTGTCATTTTTTAAAATTTATTCATATTTCAATTGACGTGATATACCATTAAAATTAATTATTTCAATTAGATAGTTATGTAAAATTAAATACAATTAAAAGAGTATATATATCTTTTTTCAAAAAACGGACATATTACTATTCAGAATAGTAATCGTAAATCAAATTTTTGTATTAGTTAATATAATAATATTGATCGTAAATCAATGAACACAATTACTTGATAAACCTTAAATTTCTTTACTATTCTGTTTTAGTTTTCTAGAATGATGACTAATATAATAAACATGCAATGGTTTTGGCCACACCGGAGATCATCCACTTATTTACTTATAGAATTATTTACTTTTCTTGTGGACTACTTTCAAGATTTATTCTTTTGATGGGTTTTACCTTTAAAAAATATTAATGGATTATAATATACATATCTAATTTGAACAATCTCAAACTATCTCATAAGCTAGTTTAATTAAAAATATGTATATAAACAATTTCTTTTTGTTTCTATATTGTGATTGGTTACTATATTAATTAAATATTAGATTGTGCTCAACCATTCAATAAATCTAGAATGCTAACTAATCTCGATTTGAAATATTTATATATAATACATAAATGTATATATATAATACATATATGATGCATGTTGTTGTTTCCTACTCCGTTTGTTACTGAAAATAAAAATTGACGCCAAAGAGAAAAGGTAAAGGAAACGAATTATTTGTACTGAAATAACATTTTCCCTAACATATATATATATATATATATATATATATATATACTTGTCTACCTTAAGATTATTGGATGTGAAATATTTAACAAAATAAAAAAAAATACAACTATTGAACAAATAACCGCATTAGCTTTCGTGCTCGACTTTCTTTCGACCAACAGTGAAAATATATATATATGCACATACTTATTTATATATAAATTACATCAACTAAAAGTTTATATATGGTCGGATTAGGTGGCAATACAAAATAAGATCTTAATAAAAATACACAAAACACACAGTATAATTCAAACTCACACTTTCATAATATAAATAAGTAAATTTTAAAGATATAACTCGATAACTGATCTTGTACCTAATATGGGAATAATCTTATAATGGTTGAATCCAGCAAGAACGAAGAGTTTAGCCCATTCTTCCTCTGTTCTCTCCTTTCCAGGGAAGTTGGTCATCATCACCATGTCAAACAAGAGTTGTGTTTGAATGAACTCTATATCTTCCTTTTGCTTCTCCATGATAATATCTATTATTATCACCTTGCCACTTCTTTCACCACTTCTTATAATTGACTCTCTACAATGTTCAAGTATTTTTTTACAATCTTCATCATTCCAGTCGTGTAATACCCACTGCATGTATAAATATAAATGTATATTTATTGCAATATATATATAATTATAAGTTGACTATGCGTATTAAATGAAAAAATAATTATATTTTTATATGACTAGCATATTATTACTTACTTTTAATATAATCCCGTCAGCAGAAGGAATCGTTTCAAACATGTCTCCTCCAAGATATTTCAAGTTGTGGGTAGACTGCAAGCCATCGATTACATGTGGAAGATCAAAAACTGTGAACTCTAAGTCTGGAAACTGAGCTGTTGGTGTGGTGTGTGTGTGTAGAGAATTTTGTGCAGGTGCGGCGTCGGCAATGGCGCGACGGAGTGGAGCAGTGAAGGTAGGCCGTAAACGTGGGGTTGTCCCGCGCGCTCACGGAGGTGATCGGGGAAGGAATGGAAAGTATGGCAGTGTTGGAGGCGTGTGGGGAGCCGTGGGGAAGGATGGGGGTGGTGCGGGTAGAACAGAGTGAGGAGGATGTGAGAGAATAATCTAGGAGGCGCGGGTGGGATAAAAACTCAAGAGAACAGAAGAGGTGTGTGCGTGGTGTGTGCGTGGGTGAGGATGTGGAGGGAGTCGCTAATAGGCGGTGATGTGTTTCCCCGAAATGCACGGTGGTGAGGGCATGTATGTGGTGTGAAACGGTGCAAGCTGAGAGGTTAATCGCCCTAGGTAGGCAAAAGTGTATAGGAACCGGGAGGAGGCAGGAGGATGGGGGAGGTAGCGGGTAGGGGGCAGTGGGAGAGGGAAGGGAGCTGGAAGGTACGGCAGTGAGGACTAGGAAACCGGATTTGAGGGGGATTGGATGGGAGAAGGGGAGTAATGTGGTCAGTAGGAGTTAGCAAGTTAGAACGCTTGGGACTAGCATGGTATAAGGAGAGATGGGAGCATGCGGTTTGGGAGGGGGAATTGGGAGGCCGTTGGTAGGGGAGGGTGGAGTTGCCGATGTTGGTGGAGCAGGGAGGGGATATGTATGTGAGTGTGGCCTAGCAAGGCCGAGAGGGGTAGAAGGGTGCATGAGTCACGGATGGTGGTGACGGGAGGTGAAAATGTTGTGTGTGTGCGTGGCCCAACGAGGTCGAGAGATGGAGGAGTGAGTATGAGTCGTCGATGTTGGTGACGCGAGACGATGGTATTTGTGTGTGTGTGTGTGGCCTCTTTAGGTCGAGAGGTGGAGGATTGAGCATGAGTCGCCGATGTTGGTGACGCGAGACGATGGTATTTGTGTGTGTGTGTGGCCTCTTTAGGTCGAGAGGTGGAGGATTGAGCATGAGTCGCCGATGTTGGTGACGCGAGACGATGGTATTTGTGTGTGTGTGTGGCCTCTTTAGGTCGAGAGGTGGAGGATTGAGCATGAGTCGCCGATGTTGGTGACGCGAGACGATGGTATTTGTGTGCGTGTGTGGCCTCTTTAGGTCGAGAGGTGGAGGATTGAGCATGAGTCGCCGATGTTGGTGACGCGAGACGATAGTATTTGTGTGTGTGTGTGGCCTCTTTAGGTCGAGAGGTGGAGGATTGAGCATGAGTCGCCGATGTTGGTGACGCGAGGCGATGGTATTCGTGTGTGTGTGTGGCCTCTTGGGTCGAGAGTGGAGAGTGAGTTGAGTCGCCGATGTTGTGACGCGGAATATGGTGTGTGGGTGGGTGCGTGGCCTATTAGGTCGAGAGGTGGAGATATGGGTATGAGTCGCCGATATTGGTGACGTGGAATGAAGGTGGTTGGTCAGGGTTTGCAGCGATAACTTGGTGGAGTAAGAACGGAATTGGGATCCGAGCGGCTGGTAACGGAGCCCCGTCGGTAGTGCCATAGGGCACAAGTTTTGTTTGTGATTTAAAATAGTTTGAAAGGATGGTTTAGTCTGGATATTGAATATCTAGGAATGTTTGATATTGTATTACTATGTGTTGTAGAGGTGGAGATGTATGTACAATTGATTTGGAAAATGGAAGGTGGACCAATTTCTCTTGTGCATGGTTGGAATAATATGGATTTCGGTATTGTGTTGTATGAGTGCTTTATCGTACACCGTTAAGGAAAAAAAAAAACGGGGTGTTACATAATTCAACAGCACACTTAAGAGAAGCAGAATGCATGAAGTTGAAGATGTTATTCCAAACATTAGCCTGAGCTTTTAGTAGCTCATTTCTATCTACTTTCTCCCTGCCGGTGGAATTCATAATTTATATTCTTCTATCTATTGCAAGTTTATATAAATTTGCTCTCTCTATATATAGTGGTAGATGTGAACCTACCATATTGATTTTTTTTTTAATTTTCTAATCAACATATAAGGTGTTATTAACAATTTTTAAACATTAATAGATATCCAAGTGACTAATTCATGATTTACAATTAAATAAACACTTTAGTTATACATTTGTCCAAAGGTTAAACTTTCTTAGTATAGATTAAACTAAACATCTACCAAATAGCAACATATATTCTTTAATTTTTAAAGTTACAATTTCACAAAAGTAATAATAATAGTGGCACTAACGATAGTGACTAGATATAGCAATAATCGAAAAACAGAAGTCACATCAATGTCGATGATAATTTTTCACATCAATATCGATGATAATTTTAACATACAATACATGAATTGTCTCTTTTTGAACAATATTATGGGAAAGAAAAAAAAATTAAAATAAATATTGACAAATATAACTACAAAAATGTTACCATTACTTATGAACACATGATAAATTCCATAGCATGAAGTAGTTCTAGAATCCAAGACACCAATTTGTATTATTTGTTTCGTGTTTTCTTTAATAAAAAAAAAATACCATCTTTATAGAGATCAAGAAATACCCATTACTCAAAGGTTAAATGTTTGTTTGGAGTGATTTATAAAACACTTAGGGTATTGAATGTGTTATCCTTTAGAATTCTTTGTTTGATCTTGTTTAAAGAGAAAAGTAAACATAAATATATTAGTTACTTTTATTTTTCTGGTGAACCAAAAAAAAGTAATTATATACTGAATATTAAATTAAGATATAATAACTTATCAATAATTTCTTCTAGTACTTTGATAAATATATTTAAAATTTTCACTTTATAATTATTGACATCTCAAGTAAAAAAAATATTTAGTTGAATAATTAATGCATAATTTAAAAATATTTTAGAACCTAGATAATTTTGCTATATTGATGTGCCTAAACTAGTAATATGCTAAGTTCTTATCGCTTAAATTAGAAAAATTGATAGTTTTGCTCGTGGTGATTATGATCATATTATTACACCTAGCCTCATTAGAAGTAGTAATAACTAGATTATGGGATTTATATTCAACTTGAATATTTCCAAATTGGTGGTGGCTAAAGTTCTAGAGGTATTTGAGGATTTCAAGTTTGCATGACGTAAAGGTATCAAAATTTTTATTATTGAGGTTGATTTTTTTATATATTAAGTAATTTTTTTACTAACATGACAGAGATTTCTTTTTTTCTACATATTTAGAGGTTTAACTCGTGGTACTTCTTACCGGACAGGGTATGGAGACAGCCCGATTCACCCTCATACATACGGGGTATTGAGGGATGGTATTTTGGGGCTAATACCAGACGGGATATTGGGACGGTCGGTTGGTTGACAATATTGGATATTGATTCACGTGTAGTGGAACATTCCTATGGGTCACCAGAAGATACCAGTAGACAAATAAAAAAGAAAATTGTTGTTCTATCTCACTTGAATATGAGATTTCAATGTTATTTGATTTATTGTTTTTATAGGTCGATCTTAGAAATCTCGCAACGGTAAATATTTTCAATAAAAAGTTTTCTTTATGATAAATGAATTTACTTAAATCAAGAGCTTCATTGGTTGTTTTTATGATTTTTACGAACCTTCAGTTTCTATATCGATGAGTAGTGTGATATTCTTATTAGACTAGTGTAGCTCAACCTTTCATTAACTATTTCATATCAAAAGAATCAAGACGCAGATCTTGATTAACAAGAGGGTTGTGAATAGTTCACCAGCCGAACTCCCTTCAAAAGCTAGAGAATGTCGTCTTAGAATGCCAAACATATTATTTTTTATTTATTTCTTTGATTTTTATTTGTTCTTTTAGAATGGACATTCTCTAAGCCCTATTAGGCATTTTACATTATGTAAGGAATGTAAACTCTAACTCTATTATTTTGTTTTCGCATTTAATAATGACTTTATTTTCTTTTAAATTCTGGACCTTTACATCTATATTTTGAGAAATAGTTTATGTTTATGTCAGTATATATTTTATATATATCTTGAGGATATTTTTTATTTATTCTATGAAATATGTGGCGTATATCTAATGGGTATTTTATGAATACTTTGGAGATATTTTTTATTTATCTTAGGGAATATGCGATATATATCCTGAATATCTTTGAGTTTTTATTTATCCTAGGGATATTTTTTTATTTTTTGTTTATTGGAGATATACTCTACTAATTGATCATAGTAGAAAACGTTTTTACCGGTCTTACCTGTAAATGTAAGCACACTGCCGAACTACATTAAATTATATGTTATTCTTTTGTTTTGTTTTATATTTGTTGTGATTGTATGTCATTTCAGAATTAATTTCTCCAACAGTTGATATCTTAATTTTTTTATTTTCTAATTTTTTTAAAAAAATTTAAGAATTTGAGTACGCTGAAATTTTTTTTTCTGACACAGAAAAAAAGTCAGTGGTAAAGATGATGACGAGATATATTATACCACCTTTGACCAACAAAAAGTGAAACTAAAACAAATTGTGATAATTAAAACACTTAGGGTATTGAATGTGTTGTCATTTAGAATCCTTTGTTAGCTCTTCTTTAAAGAGAAGTAAACACAAATATATTAGTTACTTTTATTTTCCTGGTGAACCAAAAAAAAAAGTAATTATATACTGAATTTTAAATTAAGATGCAGTAATTTGTTTTAAATTTTCGCTACTACTTTGATAAATATATTTAAAATTTTCCCTTTATAATTATTGACATCTCAAGTAAACAAAATTTATTTACTTCAATAGTTAATG